AGAGGGGAGGGGGGTGAGTGGAGGGGGGGGGGCGACAACGGGCAAAATTCCACTTGTTTTAATGCATTTTTTTAACAGTATTTCTCTGGAGATTGTGGCTTGTGTTTGAACCCACCTCAGTACATTAACCTGAATGGATGTGATTTATGACAAGATCCTGACATCCTCCTCCTTTTTCCCATTCCTGCCCCCCCTTCCCTCCCCTCCCTCTCTGTGTGACCTTCAGCAGGTTGGAAACTGAGTCCCATGGTGGGGGCTGTGTACGGACCAGAGCTGTACGCAGGTAAAACTCATCTCATCTCCATCTTCTCCGCACACATAAAAAAAAAAAAAAAAAAAAAATCCTTCCTCTCCGACCTGTTTTGCATTTCAGTCTCCGTCCAATCATAAATTCTCTTGAATGCAGCGCTCGCCCAGTGTTTTTCCTCTTCAGTGCTTTTACTGATATTAAACCCTGAAGGCTTTATTTGGATTATTCCCTTCTCTTCCTGCTTCTTAGTTCATCCAAGTTTCCACTGCTCGTTTAAATTCATCCTCTTTTTCTTCTTCTTCTTGCATTAACAAAAAAAAAAACTCTCTTTTCCTGCCAAATTCCTCCCCTCTCTTCTTCCTCTTCCTCTTCCTCTTCCTCTCCCGTATCCAGTGCCAGGGTTTCCCTACCCGTCAGCAGCGGCCGCGGCCACGACGGCGGCAGCGGCGTTCCGCGGCGCTCACCTCCGTGGCAGAGGTCGGCCCGTGTACAGCGCCGTACGTGCTGCGGTGCCTCAGCCTGCCATCCCTGCCTACCCCGGGTAAGAAGTTCAAACATCAACGGTCGATCTCACACAAACACACACACACACAGAGAAAATTTGAGCTAAATCTCATTAATGCTAGGTCTCTGTTCTCACACACACACACACACACACACACACTCCTCCACACACACACGGCGGTCCAGCTGGTGTGCAGTTCGTCAGGCTGTTCTCTGGAGTCGTTTCCATGAATGATCACAACATTAAAAGGTTGATTTGAATAAACACACAGTTACTGCCCTGAGCAGAAACATTTGCATAAACACACACACACACACACACACACACAGAGAGAAACCACAGCCAATGGAGGCACAGATTTGATTCAAATATTTGCAGCGATGTTTGTTTGTTTTTGTTTTTGTTTTTTTTTGTTTTTTTTTCCTGACACTTCTTGAACTGTGCATGTGTCGTTGCTGAGCTGCGGTGATTGGCTAATGGGATTATGACTGCGGTGACATTTGGATCAAAGCAGAATTGATTGGTTAATGGCCTTGTGGTTGCTCACGATGATGACATTGAAACCCAGCTA